AACTGACTATGGTAATAATGGGACTAGGATGAACAATAATAGTTCAACTAGTCAATGGTAATATCCTACCCTGTTGTGGGTTGGCAATTAGTAAATATTATACTGTGATCACTAGTGCAATATATATTAAATAATTCTCTATTTTGGAGAAATAATATACACAATTATTGATAATAGCCTCTTAATTAGCCTCTATGAAACTTCTAATATTATCTAGAAGTATTAAATATTATTAGTGACCTCGCGAAATAAACTCCACAAAATTCGTAGATAATCTCTCGCGAAATGTAACACCACGAAATCCGTGAACAATCTCGCGAAGACACAGTCACTAATTTGGCTGGATTCTATATTAGCGCTGTCATTTCACGAAATAACACGCCACCAAATCTGTGGGTGTGCATGAAACCGCTGACGAAGCTGAACTGGGCTGAGGGAGGCTCCTGAGCTCCCACGAGGCTACGCTGCCGTCTTGACTGGCTGGCTTTGTTTAAATAACACTGCACTAGTATATTTAATGAATCCACTGGTTAACTGGTTCATCCGGTACTAAGATGACCAAATGTGGGTTCAAAGGATCAAATAATCCGTCATCCGGTTCGAAGATGACCAAATAATGTGGGAACCGACCTGTGAGATTTATATTTATTTAATTTATATGAATTTATATTTACGTTAATTTATATACTTCGATAGCAATTTGTATAATGTTAAGTGGACTGTATTTCTGCAATAATCTCATAATCTCACAAATCGATCCTCTACACATTAGGGGGGTTTATATTTATATGTATGCAGCCAATCAAACTACAGTAACTACATACATTGAAGAGGTTCCTTATCTTATAGTACAGCAGGTTAGTCCACCAGGTATAACTAGGGTGTAGACACCAAATTATCCTCTTTGAGGTAGCTTCCATATCACCCAGTAACTGGTGCACAAATCTTGCATCCTCGTCTTGACCTGTCAAAAGTGCGCTAGCTGTGAAGCCAGATACCTATATATGACAAGTATATCAGAGAAAACAGTACATGGAACATTAAAGACCTGGCTTAATTACCTTTAGTATGAGGCGATTTCGCGTTCTAACCGGCTAACCCTATATCCTGACATTAATGGCCATAAATGAATGATAAACGGGTTTCGGATAGACACTTAACTTGTATTTGTAGACAGCGTGTTGACAATGGTACACCTTTGGGTTCCATAACACTACGTCCAAGTAAATTTAACAGGAGCCGAATTTGCTCCCGTGTGAGCCTCTGGTCTCAATAAACAACAATGGCTGCCCTCCTTCCCCACTCTGACGCCTGGCCTACTTTGTCCAGATTTCAGAAAGTGATAGAAGGGTCACATTTACTCTACTTTAATATTGATAATTAAGTTAATTTATATAAGATGTTTTTATGATGGTAAAGTCCAAAGACTAATGTATTTAAGAATAATTCCCAGCAGAATAGCTGGTGAATTATAATAGTATGTGGTGATGATATCCCGTTTTCTATAGACGGTAATTCCACTACAAGTTACGTTTTCTATGGGTAACTTGTGGGTAATACAGCTATTATCTGTATGATTATTAAATGGTGTCGGATTTTCCGACACCCTATCACTTTGTAGAAAAAAGAATTTATTTCTTCTTCATTCCTGCTCTCATTTAAATGTTTTGCCTCGGCGAGGTTCAGTTTCAGCTTCTCTCTATCTTCTTTTGAAAGATCTCGTCTTAATGACCACCCTTTCCCATCCTCATCCCTTTGCAATTTTCTAGCATTCCTTAGTACTTCTTCCATCTGTTTGGCACCGTTTAGGGTGATCCTCAAAGGTCGATCTTTCCCTTTTACGTACCTGTGTGTGTGTGTGTGTGTGTGTGTGTGTGTGTGTGTGTGTGTGAAAAAATTGTGGTACTAGCCTCGTAAGATTGTTACTTCCTTAGCTACAAGAACTATATAGTTCAGTTCCTGAACCCATTAAATACCTCTGTAACTCTTTCCACCACTGTCCATGGGATGTGTATGTCGTGCACAATAAATGACTAAAACTAACTGAAATTCAGTCAAGTGGTCAATGGATGGTTAGTATTCCTATAGATTCTAGCATTGCCACTCAAACTCACCACAGATTACCTGTGCATACTCTCCCTGTTTCATGTGGGGGTTATTTGAATGCTTTAATATGTCTCCTTGTTGGACTCTGTGTTGGGTGGGGGCACAGGGAAGTAAAGTGTATTGTTTTATTACAGTATATAGCTTATAACTATTCCTCTGAGGCTCGTGTGGTAGGTGACCAGGCTTGAGAGTTGGAAGATGCCCTTGGAACATACCTGGTAATCCTGCAGGACTGCCCTCCGGTTTTGCTTCTCTGGTCTGGCAGAGGAGCTAAAACTCATTCAAAGAACAACTGCACAATGGTTCCTGCAGTCAACATGAGTGGCTCTCCAACAACCCTATGTATAAATTTATTCCAGAGTCTTTCAGCCTAGGAGTTGCAAACATTTTTTTAAACAGGTGCTCCATGGTATTTCTATCAGACTTAATTGAATAAAAGTGCTATTAGTCCATTAGTGTTATGTGGATGGGAATAAAATATCACCGACCATGGTGATGTCACTATTTGTGAAATCATTGTTTACTGATGAGAATCCTGACATAACTAACTTCTCAGAAGTGGTGCATGGCAGTCACTTTTGGTTCTGCATGCCACTTTTAACAAGAAAGGAGTTATCTTCCCTAGGGAGCTCCATAGGACTTCTGTTAATAATAAATTGGAATCGGAACTGAAGGAACAGAGTAGTAAAGTTGGTGCTTGTTATAAGGAAGGTGGGAAAGATTGACATACCAACATCCTCTTACTTCTTGATGTTTGACTGCCTCATGTTACCAGATGTTAAGGCCATTTGGTATAGGTTACTAGTTAAAACATGCATACCACAACCCTGGAGATGCTTTTACTGTGGAATAGGGAAATTACAAGTTCTTGTGCCCACCCTGTGCATGTTGATCTGTGATCTTGGTCTCTTTGTATTGTGGTACAACCTGGCAGCATCTAGACCAGAATGTGAACAGTATAAATGGGAAAAGGGGATTTTTAACACTTTTGTCCGGGCATGACGCAATGCTGCGTCATCAGTTTACTGTCGGTAGTCTCGGGGATGACGCAATGCTGCGTCGTCCACTAAAATAATTGCCAAAATCAGGTTTTTATCCGATTTTTGGGGGACTGTTTGGTAACTGTCAACAAGCCGAATGCAGTCTGTGACTATAATACAAACATGAAAGGTGTTGATCACTTCGACCAAATGATCAAATATTATCACTTCATAAGGAAAACTCACAAATGGACGAAGAAAATGACCTTCTATTTTGTGCAAATGGCTATCTACAATGCTTATGTGATGTACAACTACTACACAAAAAATACTAAACTATAATACTAAATATACTAAAATACTAAATACTAAACATTTGTGGGCAGGAATTGGGAGTGTAGCTGGAAGGCGTCTGGGTGCTCACTCACGGCTAACGCGTGGCCAGTCTTCACCTCGTCGGCGGGTGGAGCGTGACAAGTATTTTTATTTTATATGCTAATATTCCTCTAGAGAATTCTATTGCGAACCCATTGATACCAAAATGAAAGACCTAGGACGAAAATTGAGGTGACCAGAGTGAAAAGATTGAACACATTTTATCGCTTTTGCACGCTCCTAGGTAACTCGTTCGCAGTTTCTCTGTTTGCTGCGGGTAATTAGCCGGGCTTTTGGAGTTTATATGCATTTAGTGCTGTAGAGAATTCTATTGCGAACACAATGATAACAAATTTAATCTCGTAGGATGAGAATTAAGGTGACAAAGTTGAAGAGAGTATACACTTTTCAGAATTACCGCACGCTCCCGTGAAGCACTGGGACCCAAATCGCATAGTTGAGGGGTGGCGCAGCGGGTGCGCCAAAGTGTTAACTATTTAGGATATGAAGGGGTGAATGATAACATGGCAAACCCTTTTGAATGCCATGTCCTATAAAAAGCTATCCAACAACAGCATTCTTGCCTGTCCATTACAGTCTTGGTTGTCCACCTTCCCCTTACCCTCATGTTCCATTTGGAAGCAGTTTTTGTGGTGGTGTGTTCTGTGTTCACTTAACGAGGCATGACACCACATAAGCTGCTTCACTTCTCATAATCAATGACATTAACTAACCCATGCAGAAATGCATCAAAAGCCACAAAAACTTTGATGGACCGTCTTCAAACGTGCAACAGTTGGATGACATGTGCCAATCCCCCCCCCCCCCCCACCCCTCATCTGGTTGAGGCTTCCTCACTAACTTCCTTACAATGGAAGCTCATCCTGTCAGAATTGGAACAGTGTTCCTACCAGTTTTGCTGTCGTTGGCTTACCACAGTCTAAAGAATCTTTCTATCAACAAACCCGACAGGAATGAACAAGTATTTTGCACTGTTCACAAGCAAGGGGACTGAAGAGGGGCCAGCTCAGAGAGGTGAGAAGGAAAGTAAGTAATTATCAAAAGAAGGCACCATACTGGGAAGGCTATGTAGCACCAGAGGTGAGAAGGAATGTACCTTCTGCCACTCATTCAGGGCTGGATTAAATATCCAGCCCTGAATGACTTTCCCTCTTCCTCTTGTCGTGGTTTTGGCATTTAGAAAAAAATCCTCGTTGCATTGGGAAAGGGAAAGTTGTGCTGGCCCAGACTGAAGTTTGCATTGTCTCATGGAAAGCAGAATATTGCCTAAGAAAGTGACAATGACCACCAACTCATATAGGAACATTCCATATACAATGAACTCCATATTTTTTTTTGTGCTTTTTAACTGTCTTCATGCTAGAAATACCACCATTCACTAAATTTCTCATACCATATAATTAAAAATAAATATAGGTACTATAATTTGTAGCATATAAAGACCATTTACCTGCATTTACAAATTTTGTAGCTAATTATTGTGAACTCATTATTTTGAAGAAACAATGTTTACTTTAGGTTCTGATGGCAACTAATCGACCAGACACCCTTGACCCTGCACTCATGAGACCAGGACGTTTGGATCGTAAGGTAGAATTTGGCCTACCCGATCTTGAAGGAAGAGCCCACATATTCAAAATCCACGCTAAATCCATGTCTGTTGAAAGAGACATTAGATTTGATCTACTGGCTCGTTTGTGTCCCAATAGTACAGGTGAGTATTTTTATATATTTTTGTTTTTAGTTTTATATACCAAAAATTTGTGCTGCATTTATTTCCAGTTTTTTGCAAGCGAGTCAAGTTCTTAGACTGGATATTTTGCATATTGTTTCAATGCTCATCAGCCCTTGATGAGCACCTCCGAGCAGCAGGGACAGAACTGTACTGCAATAAGTCCCAATCGAGAGGCTGGAACTGAGAAGAGAGTTCTTTCAGGTAAAAGAAGATTGGGAGAACAGGGAGAAAGATAATAGGAAAAGGGACCCAGCTGAGTCTAAAGATGGGCTAAGACAGCTCACTGACAAGCCAACCAAGCTAAAAAACCACCACCGCATCCCTAATGAGAGGCGTTACCAGCTTTGACAATGCCTCCCAAGCCCCAGCTGCAGGCAGCAACCTCCCCCCCCCCCCCCCCCCCCTGCCTCTGAGGCCAACACATTGAAGCCAGCCAGGAGCTGACTGGAAATGGCATAACAACAGCCCAGAAGCACAAAAATGAAAGCCAAAACTGAACCCTGTGATCCTCCATAGCCTGTACTACAGAAATCGAAGGCTAATGGACATGCTGGGGCAGCTGGTATAAAGAAGCTGGTCTTAAACAGTGCAAAGGAAGCACTGGCCAAGAATTCCTCAAATACCAAACCAGCTGCACACCACTCGAGCAGTCATGTATGGCAAAAATCATGCTAAGTAATTCTAAGCCCTCAAGGAAGCAAGGGGGGGGGGAGGGAAAGGGGGTATCCACAAGTCAAGAGAAAGGAGGGATCTCAAACATATCCAGGAGTTAGACATGGAATCAAACTTTAAAAAGGGCTGGGTCCAAAGAGAAGAGATCCTGATCCTGGAGGAACCAAAACAAATCATCGTGCACCTCTGAGGGGGGGGGGGGAAAGGAAGTTGAAAGCTTCCACAAATACAATGCATTTGAAGACATGAATGACACTGAAACCTACACAAGTAGGAGCAGCCAAGGAATCAATTCAAATCTAGACAAAGATTATGCAAGATCCCCTGTGTGGAGTGAAAAAGTGAAAATTCCCTAGCTGAAGGTACCAGAAACAAAGCAAGGTAGAAGGGCACCCCACAGAATCTCCTCAGGCCCCTTCCCAGCACCAGTGGCCCAAAAACAACAGACCCTAGGACAGAGCAATGTTCCACACCAGATGCTGCAGACCGAAAAATATCTTCTCTGTGGGAAGGTTCCCAGCTCTAAACCACATGCTGACATGATGGGGCAAACCCCCCCAGAAGTGGCCCAGCCCCAAGGAAGAACCAAGAAGGATAGGGGGAATGAGGCCTGACGAAGCAAAATCAGGTGAGCCAGGAGAAAAGAGAAGGTAGGGCAAATGCTGAATAAGGTGAAAACCATCCCAACCCTGAAAGGGTAAAAAAAAGGAGGATGTGGGGCTGAATCTTGGGCATCCACAAGCAATGCATATGGAAAATCAATTTGCTTAAACCGGCTGCTGCCTGATTGTCTCAGTCCTGAGAAGGGAAAGCTCGGCTAAGAGGGAGCCAGTGATGACACATGTTGCAGGCTTCAGGGTGGAAGATGTCACTCACTCAACAGGTAGTAATGCAGAGGCACTAAGAATGACCATTAGCATCTGGGCTGGATCTAACTGTTTTGGGGCTCTTGGCCAAAACAGCTAAATGAGCCCACCCTCTGGTCATGTTATTCAAGTAAAGTAATAATATGTACGTATATAATATTGGCGTCTTTTTATTTTCTATACCAATATCTATGTATTTACTTCTTCCCAATTTCCCCCTCCCACTCTGAAAATTTGAAATTCCATTCTTGTGACTCTGCTTTGACGTGCTGATACATGAATGTCTCCAGAATGAGGTTTACAAATCTACCTGTCCAAATGTCCTATGTTCTTGCTTCGTAGGCCTCCTAGTCTATTGCTTTCTAGTTAGTCCCCCAGTACCAATAATCATGATTTACCTTTATCTGCTTTTACTATAATCTTTCTTATAACCATAATGAGGCCCTCTCGTTTGTCACCTAGTTCCTCCTTTGTCCATGTGTTGCTTGCTGGTTGCCTGTGGGCATTTACAAGTATCTGTTTATCATCCTAATTCCATACTTGCAAAGCCATTTTGTCTTCTTGATGGTTGTCTTCACCATGTGAAGCTTGGTGTGATAATGATATTTTTATTTTTGATGAGTGTAGATGACATGGTGTACTGATTACAAATTGATCCTTGTATACCTGTAATACTGTTTTATATTAGTATATATTTGGAATATTACCAAAGCAAATGCAAAGCTTGATTAACATGGTTTCTGAAGAGATGAGTAGTTAAATGTTGAATATGCAAGAATCCTGTGTTTGTAAACACAAATTTATATTTTCCAGGGCTTGGTAGAAAAGGAAAATAGAGGAAGATTATAAAAGAATAGTTTTTATTGTGTATTCAATTGAGAATTTACTAATCATAATTTTAATTTGTTAAATGTGTAGGATGAAGACAGCAATTGATAATTATGTATGTGTGCACTTAGCACATCTTGTATTTGTATGGGGTGCATAATAAGGAAAGAAAATTGAAAATTGTATTTACAAATAGAGATTAAAGTTTAAGTAATGTAAATAAGCATGGAAATTGCTACAAATCTATTGGATAAATATGAAACTTTATTTCAGTGTTACAGATAGAAAGTTGAGAGTTGATATAGATGAGCGAGGCATTAACATGCACCATCCTTCTCAGACACATAAGAAAGGATGTACAGTAAAGATTTGGAGAAGAGTGCTTTGATTTATTAGTGTACATTCTGAGACGTTTCTGCAGTATTTCTTTATATTTATTCTTTCACTTCTACCGTATTGGCATCCTTAGTGATCTTTAATGCCTTTTGAATATCCTGCACTTTTGACGGTGCTACATGCCTCCCCGGCTTGGTGGTGTCTTTTGATAATTACTTGCTTACTTTTCACCTCTACAGGAGCAGAAATTAGATCGGTATGTACCGAGGCGGGCATGTATGCTATTCGTGCCCGCAGGAAGGTAGCCACCGAAAAGGACTTCTTAGATGCTGTCAACAAAGTCATTAAGGCTTATGCTAAATTCTCAGCCACACCAAGATATATGACATACAACTAAGACTTCTGAAAAGTTCGTCAGTGTTTTAATAGGCCGAGTCTTCTTGCGGGAGTCTCGAGTATGTCCTGAGTGTAATATGACCATCATGGAAATTATAGGTTTCTTATTATAGTAACTAAATGGTAAAACCAAAATTACGTTCATTTTACAATGATTGCATGTAAAGAAAATATTTTGTTTATTTTGCTTTTTGAATCTGAGCGACATTATAACATTTTCTTTACAATGATTAAACATAACAAAAATAAATTGTTTTATTTTCATTTCTTAATATTACAGCTAGCATCACACTATTTTGTCCTGAGAAGTGGAGAGAAAGTTGAACATTTGATTAACAAAAAATACATTAAAACGAAACTTAATTTCTTTATTTAAACACTAGCAAGAGATATTTTAACAGTAACTTTGGACATGTCTCAAATATTTTTCACTCTGCATTACAGTTTAAGATCTTTATCTCTGTTGCAACCCTCTATATGTATTTTCACTTTAAAAGTTTCTAGTTACATCTAGGTGAAACTAACACTAAATATCTAATCTATATTGCCATTCTTCCAGGATGATGAATCTAATTTTGCTTATACAGAATCTTACCCCCATCTCACCCATAGTTAATATTTATGACAGACCAAGGACTATTCTGTGCTGCTTAGACCATCCAACTAGCTGTTCATCTTGGAATGAAGTGCATAATTTGAGCTGCTTGCGGGTCCTTGTCTTGAAATACTACCTTTACAGGGTAGGGGATTGGGACAAGGAAGGCAGTCAAGCAAACCATGAAGTCTCTCTTTCTTCCTTACACTTGGCATGTTCTCTTTGGTGATGCTCCCTCCCTTTCCAGCCCGTTGTTGTGAGGAGGCTGCCTGGGAGTGATGCTCCATAGGACAGCCCTCTAACCTTTTGAAGCCTTATGCTCCTGCTGCCGTCTTCACTGATTTTAGTGGAAACTTTTCCTCTTCCTTATATTTCATTTTTCCGCCCCTCTTGTCACCTTTCTAATTCTCATTTCCCACCAATTTTTTGCCATTCCTGATTATTTTTTCGGACATCTGTTTTGACGCCCGGGTGTTTGGGGGAGGCGCACTTTCTCTCGCCCGTAGATCTGTGGTATCCGACATTTCGAGTGAGGGGACGCTTTTATTGTCAATCCTTGCTTTCATTGCTGAACCCGATCTCGACAGACTGACGGTTCTTAAGATTGCGATTGCGGGGTGTATACTCAGCATGCACCCCTGGGAGGGGGCCCCTGTCTTGTTGGGTGTCCCATCCTCTAATTGTGGCTCTGGTAGATATGGGGCCTTATTGGTGAATTAAATTATTACCTACTCGTTTCTATGCCGCTGAAGGATCCTCTTATAACTTCCCAGGTTTGTGGTTTGGGCGATCAGGCCCCCAAGTCGGGCTGTAGGAAGACCAGGCTTTGCAGCCCCACTACATTGGGCCCAGACCAAGCTCCTCCTTTGACCCTACCGACTACCCCCCTCCTTTCTCTGTGGTAGGTAGGGTTGAACCCCAAGCCCCCCCCCCCCCCAACAAATACACTCGTGCAATTCCTTCCCGTGCTAATACGTTCCACGCCTTGTTTGGTCCTGCTACATACTCAATATTTTGATCTCAACCATCTGAATTCTACACATCCTGACGATTTCTCACTCCATAAACACCTCATTGATTCGGTGGATACCTCTGTTACTTTCAACCCCACCCGTTTTGGTACACGTGTCGTTGCTGCTCCTAGTCAGGAAGCAGCTGCCCGCTTAGCCGCATTGTCTGGCATTGAGAAGACCCCTGTTAAGATCTCCAAAAATGCCCCATTAAATGCCAGTATTAGCACTGTTATCCTCCCACATTATGTTGTGACTAGTCGTTAAGGACCTGAAAGACTGCTGCGAGGATATTACACATATCCTTGAAGCACAAGGCCATTCTGTCCTCCAGGTTGATACGTTCACTCGACCCCTTCGTGGTCTTCGTCATCAGCCTCTTCGAGTTGCGAAGATCACTTGATAATAGGACTTTTTTTTTTTTTTTTTTTTTTTTTTTTTTTTTTTTTTTTTTTTTTTTTTTTTTTTTTTTTTTTTTTTTGCTTCTATAATTCTTGCTGGTGCCAGATGCTCCATTCAGAAGTACATTCCCTCTCCTAAACTTTGCAATAAGTGCTGGAAATTTGGGCATGGTTCCCTCAAATGCACAAGTGCAGTGCGTGTATGCACCATGTGTGGGGACTGGTCACTCTAAGACTGAGTGCTGTTCTTCCCAGGCACACTGCCTCAGTTGCAGTGACGCCCACCCTACCTTCTGCGCGTCAAGTCCGCCATCTCTGCCCTTTCGCTAGCATATCTTGTGCTCGTGTGTTGCTTTCCACCTCTCCTTGCCCTTCCCTCCTTTCTCAGTCACACAACCGTTTCCAGGCCTTGGACCCGAACACGCCCACCGACTCCTCCCTTGCTCCTTTATGTTCTGATTTCAACTGGTTCTCCATCTTTTGTTTCCCTCCTTCCTTCTCAGTCTACCATGTCTCCTGTGTCTTCTTTCCCGTCTCCCCTCGATCCTTCTTCCCAGCCCTTCCCCATCTCTTGGCCCTCCATGCCGCCTGTCTGTCCAGGCTGTTGTCCATCACCCCTCCCACCAATCTTCATGTTGGTTGCTCTTGTTCTCCTTCTGTTGAGACTATGGAGACTGTTGCCCAGTACAGTACGTTGCTACTGGCACACTTGACGTTTAAGTCAGAAACGTAAGCCTGGCTCCTCCCCTTCTTCCTTTCCTGGCAGGTAAGAAAGTGTCACTTTCTTCCCCACCCTCTGACTCCGAATCTATCACTACACCCCCTCCCATTTCAGTGGTCGAGCCCCGTCCCGGCTATGGAGGTTCCTTTAGCTCTCGCTTCTCTCTCGGTTGCTTCCCTTACTGAGGTGTGCTCCTCTGTTTCTGCCCCCCCCCCTTCCCCTGATTCCCTTGATTACCCCTCTCCATTACCTCCTCCAGCTCCGGTCCCTGTGTTCGCCTCTGGTCCATTCTCCAACTCCCTTGACTATCGTCATTGCTAAATTTACTCATGCCTCCTAACCCTGATTTCACTGATCCTGATCATCTTCAGTATACTGTGTTCTTCTTTGCCTTTGTTTCTTCATTGTTCTCTGATGCTGTTCTCTCTCGAATTCTCTGTCTTTCCCTCCAGCCCTCCTCCTTTTTCATGACACCGTATAATAATAATAATAATAATAATTTATTTAGGAACAGTACATACATAGTTGCAGCGTTACAGTACAAACATTTTTAGATTTAAAGATAGAGGTAGTACATACAATACCTAAAGCCACTAGTACGCATAGCATTTCGGGCATTTGACTATTTCCCTCCACTATTCCTCGCTCTACCTCTCAGGGCACGCGGAAGTGCGTTCCTGGGTGGAATGCGGACTGCTCGGGCTGTCCGCGTAAGCGTGTAGCCTGGAAGAAACACGAACTCCAGCAGACGGCTGATTCTTTTTTGTTTCAGACGGGGAGTGCGGTGGCCCATAGGACGATCCGTACAGTTAAACGTGAGAGTTGGAAGTCTTATATGTCCACCATTATGGTGCAGCTTCCCCACCACACAGTGTAGTGAATCAAACCACCAGCGATGCTAGTGTAGGAAGTGTGTCTGCACCTCATGCAGACATTAGGCGAGCTAATGTCACATGTTTGAATTTTGATAAACACAGCAAAAGTGAAGAGGCGTCCGACTCGGAGAGCTGCACCCAACTCTGTACAGTGCAACTTGTAGTGATGCGTTAGTTTAGTTCATTTATTATGCACCCTATACCCATCTTGTGAGCGGTAGTGGAAAGGGTTACAGATGCAATGTAAGCAATGTTGACCTTCAATAAAGAAATTCTGGAGGGCTTCTGTGCAAGGGTTAGGATGAGTTAGCCAAAGCTAACCAATTTGACAATTTTATACCAATTTGACAATTTTATAACAATTTGACAGTTAATTTCAGTAACACTATCAATAACGCTCATAATATTAAGTTCCTTTCTCATGTTAAGTATCTTTGTGGTACGAGGGCACCCAAGGATTGTTCTCAAGGCTTAGTTCTGCAATTTTTCAAGCACTCTTAGCTTTCTTTCAAGCATCAAAACAAGCAGAGATGCAGCATAATCCACTAAAGATCTGATGTATGCAAGGTACATCATTTTGACAATTCTGACATTAGCACCATAGCCTGAGTGATAACCTGCAACAGCCTTGAGAGCTCGGAGCCTCTCTTTATACTGACGACAGAGTCTGAATACAACAGGACCATACAGTGGCACCTCAAGGCCAAGGTATTTGAATCTGTTTACATAGTCAAGCTGGGAGCCATCAGACAGTTGCATCTTGCGAACAGCTCCTCCCTGCCTGGGTGGACGCCGATTTAGTATCTTTGTTTTCTCTGCTGAGATGACTAAACTTAGCTAGGTCCTGACATGAGTCTAATACAGAGTTAAGAGTGTTCTGCATGTTAGCATACCCAATGGTGTGTATCATCATATCAGCATAGCTAATGATGTGCACGTTAGGTTTTCTCGGTACAGAGTTTAACAGTGTGTTTATTAAGATATTAAATAAGATAGGACTGAGGACACCTCCCTGCGGGGTACCTAGTTCGAAGTCTCTTGTTACACTCCCATGCCCCTGGAAAAACACAGATGACTTCCTGTTGGATAAGTAGCCCCTAATCACAAAGACTCCGACCACCGATATTCATTCTCGCAAGCTCACTCAAGATAACATGTTGGTTTGCAGTATCAAAGGTCCATAGATGGCGGTGCTATCGCCACTCCTCACTCCAGCAACGATGTTGATATTGTAACAATATTCTTGTGCTGTACGCAGATTTTGCTAGTGGAGGCCCATAGATCAGCCTTACATTTTATGTTCTCTCCTGAATTTTAGTCAGAGTTGATTTGTTTTTTGTATTGAGGCTAGCAACAACATCACATGGCAAGGTGGGTAAACCCCATGTAGGGGGTTATTGCCTACGTTATCTTACCCCCTTTTTTGTTCCAATCTTGGCATACACACAACTACTCAGAAGGGACGCTAGCCTCATAAAACCTGCTACAGCAGCCAGCTACCATATGTAATAACATACATCTGATCACAAATATCATACCATTAATGCAAACACTCAAACGACAAGGCCGACGGGTACTTATCAACTGGGTGCCAAGTCATGTGGGAATAATAGGAAATGACATTGCAGACGAAGTTGCAAAACTTGCAACTATGAAGAAGTGTAGACATTTACATACCACAGATTAAGAAAAAAAAAAAAGAAAAAAGCTGCCGCTTGCCCTTCGGGGTGGGGGGTTCCGCGCGCGCCAGTTGGCCTGTCGTATGGGGGTGCTCAGCAGGAACCCCCAAAGTCTTATGATATTTAATACCATGATTAATATAATTGTAATTACCTTCGTAAATACATTAGTGCAAATTTAAATAAAGGAACATGTAATTAGTTATTATTTGTAATGGACTTAATAAACCCATTTTAGATTTAATACATTATTATTTTACTGTTATTACAACATTATTATTATAAATATTATTATTATAATTCCTGTTATCAATTATTATTATTGTAATTATTATAAATATTATTATTATAAATAATAATAATATTATAAATGGTATTAATATTATAATTATTTATAATTATTATTACTATTATTAAACAATTAACGAAGTTCCCCCATACGTTTTCTTCCATACACAGAAAATGTATTCTTTTAAAGAAAATTTTAATTTTCTTTTTTTTTTATTTAGTTTATTTAGTTAAAATTCCTTCTGAGGTTCTGTTGCATTTTCTGCTGTTATATTCTCTTTTTCATTTTTATTCCTTTTTTTTAATTAAATTTATGCTTTTGATCAAGTTTTAAGCATCGTATGTACTAGCTCTTATAGCTAGCTCTTATATAGCTCTTATTTATTCCAACATTATATTTGTAACACATTTACAATGTACCTTCTTGTATAAATAAATAAATAAATAAATAAATAAATAAATAGATAGATAGATAGATAGATAGATAGATAGATAGATAGATAGATAGATAGATAGATAGATAGATAGATAGTGTGCGTACAAGTTGTGTACGAAATTGTAGAAATATGTGGAGGCGACTCGTCGAGTGTACGAAGTGTCTTGTGTTGTGTTGTGGCGGGTTGCACCATCACCTGAGGTGTGAGGTGAGGGTCATGTCAGCCACCCCAGGCACTGGTGTGAGGTGAGGGTCATGTCAGCCACACCAGGCACTGTGGTAGGTCAGTGGTGTGAGGTGAGGGTCATGTCAGCCACCCCAGGCACTGTGGTAGGTCAGTGGTGTGAGGTGAGGGTCATGTCAGCCACCCCAGGCACTGTGGTAGGTCAGAGGTGTGAGGTGAGGCTCATGTCAGCCACCCCAGGCACTGTGGTAGGTCAGTGGTGTGAGGTGAGGCTCATGTCAGCCACCCCAGGCACTGTGGTAGGTCAGTGGTGTGAGGTGAGGGTCATGTCAGCCACCCCAGGCACTGTGGTAGGTCAGTGGTGTGAGGTGAGGGTCATGTCAGCCACCCCAGGCACTGTGGTAGGTCAGTGGTGTGAGGTGAGGCTCATGTCAGCCACCCCAGGCGCTGTGGTAGGCCAGATGTGTGAGGTGAGGCTCATGTCAGCCACCCCAGGCACTGTGGTAGGTCAGTGGTGTGAGGTGAGGGTCATGTCAGCCACCCCAGGCACTGTGGTGTGAGGTGAAGGTCATGTCAGCCACCCCAGGCACTGGTGTGAGGTGAGGGTCATGTCAGCCACACCAGGCGCTGTGGTAGGTCAGTGGTGTGAGGTGAGGCTCATGTCAGCCACCCCAGGCACTGTTGTGAGGTGAGGCTCATGTCAGCCACACCAGGCACTGTGGTAGGTCAGTGGTGTGAGGTGAGGCTCATGTCAGCCACCCCAGGCACTGTGGTAGGTCAGTGGTGTGAGGTGAGGCTCATGTCAGCCACCCCAGGCGCTGTGGTAGGCCAGAGGTGTGAGGTGAGGCTCATGTCAGCCACCCCAGGCACTGTGGTAGGTCAGTGGTGTGAGGTGAGGGTCATGTCAGCCACCCCAGGCACTGTGGTGTGAGGTGAAGGTCATGTCAGCCACCCCAGGCACTGGTGTGAGGTGAGGGTCATGTCAGCCACACCAGGCGCTGTGGTAGGTCAGTGGTGTGAGGTGAGGGTCATGTCAGCCACCCTAGGCCTAGGCAGTCATGTCAGCCACCCCAGGTGCTGTGGTGTGAGGTGAGGGTCATGTCAGCCACCCCAGGTGCTGTGGTAGGTCAGTGGTGTGAGGTGAGGCTCATGTCAGCCACCCCAGGCACTGTGGTGTGAGGTGAGGGTCATGTCAGCCACCTCAGGCACTGTGGTGTGAGGTGAGGGTCATGTCAGCCACCCCAGGTGCTGTGGTGTGAGGTGAGGGTCATGTCAGCCACCCCAGGCGCTGTGGTGTGAGGTGAGGCTCATGTCAGCCACCCCAGGCGCTGTGGTAGGTCAGAGGTGTGAGGTGAGGCTCATGTCTGCCACACCAGGCACTGTGGTGTGAGGTGAGGCTCATGTCAGCCACCCCAGGCACTGTGGTGTGTGGTGAGGGTCATGTCAGCCACCCCAGGCACTGTGGTGTGAGGTGAGGGTCATGTCAGCCACCCCAGGTGCTGTGGTGTGAGGTGAGGGTCATGTCAGCCACCCCAGGTGCTGTGGTGTGAGGTGAGGGTCATGTCAGCCACCCCAGGTGCTGTGGTGTGAGGTGAGGGTCATGTCAGCCACCCCAGATGCTGTGGTGTGAGGTGAGGCTCATGTCGGCCACCCCAGGCACTGTGGTAGGTCAGTGGTGTGAGGTGAGGGGCATGTCAGCCACACCAGGCACTGTGGTAGGTCAGTGGTGTGAGGTGAGAGTCATGTCAGCCACACCAGGCACTGTGGTAGGTCAGTGGTGTGAGGTGAGGGTCATGTCAGCCACACCAGGCACTGTGGTAGGTCAGTGGTGTGAGGTGAGGCTCATGTCGGCCACCCCAGGCGCTGTGGTAGGTCAGTGGTGTGAGGTGAGGCTCATGTCAGCCACCTCAGGTGCTGTGGTAGGTCAGTGGTGTGAGGTGAGGGTCATGTCAGCCACACCAGGCACTGTGGTAGGTCAGTGGTGTGAGGTGAGGCTCATGTCAGCCACACCAGGCACTGTGGTAGGTCAGTGGTGTGAGGTGAGGGTCATGTCGGCCACCCCAGGTGCTGTGGTAGGTCAGTGGTGTGAGGTGAGGCTCATGTCAGCCACCCCAGGCGCTGTGGTAGGTCAGTGGTGTGAGGTGAGGCTCATGTCAGCCATCTCAGGCACTGTGGTAGGTCAGTGGTGTGGGGTGAGGGGCATGTCAGCCACACCAGGCACTGTGGTAGGTCAGTGGTGTGAGGTGAGGGTCATGTCGGCCACACCAGGCGCTGTGGTAGGTCAGTGGTGTGAGGTGAGGCTCATGTCAGGCACCCCAGGCGCTGTGGTAGGTCAGAGGTGTGAGGTGAGGCTCATGTCAGCCACCCCAGGTACTGTGGTAGGTCAGTGGTGTGAGGTGAGGCTCATGTCAGCCACCCCAGGCACTGTGGTAGGTCAGTGGTGTGAGGTGAGGGTCATGTCAGCCACACCAGGCACTGTGGTAGGTCAGTGGTGTGAGGTGAGGGTCATGTCAGCCACATCAGGCACTGTGGTAGGTCAGTGGTGTGTGGTGAGGCTCATGTCAGCCACCCCAGGCGCTGTGGTAGGTCAGAGGTGTGAGGTGAGGCTCATGTCAGCCACACCAGGCACTGTGGTAGGTCAGAGGTGTGAGGTGAGGGTCATGTCAGCTACATCAGGCACTGTGGTAGGTCAGTGGTGTGAGGTGAGGCTCATGTCAGCCACACCAGGCACTGTGGTAGGTCAGTGGTGTGAGGTGAGGGTCATGTCAGCCACATCAGGCACTGTGGTAGGTCAGAGGTGTGAGGTGAGGCTCATGTCAGCCACACCAGGCACTGGTAGGTCAGAGGTGTGAGGTGAGGGTCATGTCAGCCACATCAGGCACTGTGGTAGGTCAGAGGTGTGAAGTGAGGTTGGTGCCTAGATTGAGATGTAATTTGAAAAGATTCATGTTTATTTCCAGGAAACAGAGTACAAATGAGTGTGGCATTAGTGCGTGTCAAGGGTCCAGGCAAGAGTGATGAGGAGTATAGTAGTGAAGAGATTCCCGTCTCTCTGCCACTTGTCTTGGGGAGAGGATCATTACTCAAGGTTTGTGGTCATTCAATTTTAATATAATGAAAGAATCGGTATTATCTAAGATTATAAAAATATATTTGTGTTAAAATATTGCATTTTCTGTATTATTGATGTTTGTTGTACATAATAATATTTACTTGTCCACATACACTAGTTTAGGGAAAGTATATACTTTACATGTATTTTTTTTCTCTATTCAAGAGTTCATTCTTGAATAAACATACACTATTGTAAAGCCACTAGTACACATAGCATTTTGGGCAGGTTTTTAATCCTAATTTTCCCTGAAATACGACCCACCAAATTGCTTAATACCTAGGTGCCCATTCACTGCTTGGCGAACAGAGACGTACAGTTAAGGATTGGCACCTAGTCAATCTTCCACGGCCAGGATACAAACACAAGCTAAATCATTATGTAGTAGGCCAATGGTAGATGGTTTGAACAAGTTACCTGGTAAGTGAGGTGGTGGTGGAGGCTAAATCCATCGGTTGTTTCAAAGTGGTACAGTATTTGATAAAAAAAAAAAAGTCCTAGGAAGGTGGGACACCAAGAGCATAGCTCTTATTCTGTAACTACAATTAGGAAATAACTTGGGTAATAACTGCAAAGGCAAGACCTGATCGTCACAAGCAATAATGAACTAATCAGAGACATTGCAATCTCGGATACTACATAACTAATTGAAGTGCAAACTAATATTAATAACGGTAGTAGGTCCAAGTGAATCGACAAGAAAGATTATTCAATCGATTCAATTTCAACAATAAGAGGATTGACTGGAAAAAAATAAATATAGATCCTGCAAACATTCAATGGGGGACAAAACTCCCACACACAGTTATAACTAACTAAATCCTGTAAGTACACTTAGGTAATTGAACTTAGGTAATTATAGAGAATAGCCAAACTGACAGCTGAATCATACAAGATCTGCTTGAAGCATGTTCCTGTGAGGACGGTCAGAAAGAGGACCACTCTAGAAAGAGAATGCTGTAAGGTACGAGATTGAAAGCCGTACCCTAAAGTATCGCTAACAACACTCCTATGCAAATAACTGTATAGGAGAAGGAAAAAAATCACGGAAATGCTTAAACAGACACGAAAGAAAAATAAACTTAAACAGCGAGATCGAAGAAATAGAGCAGACACTGAAGCGATCATACGAGTCTGAGGAAGTGGAATTTGAATAGAAAGCTATACAAGAGATAAAGAAAAATCCAAAATATATTTTGACATATATAAACCGAAATCTAAAACCTCCACTGGCATTTGACTTTTACTTACAACTGAAGGTTCGTACACAGAGGACAACAAGGAAATTAGTGAAATTCTAAAAGACCAGTATGAGACTATGTTTAGCACCCCAATAAACATGAAAGTTGAAGATGCAGACAGCTTCTTTATGAATGACATCCAAGCTGCAGATAATATAACATATTAAAATGAATTCAGAAGACTTTGAAAGAGAAATTGACAACATGCATGTGCACTCAGCCCCTGGTCCTGACTCGTGGAATTCAATATTCATAAAGAAATGTAAAGTACCAGTGGTGTGAGCTCTCATTGTATTATGGAGAAAAAGCCTGGATACAGAGGAGATACCAGCAGCACTTAAATCAGCAGCTATAGCTCCTCTGCACAAGGGAGGGGGAGGGGTAGTAAAGTTTTGGATAAAAAATTATAGACAAGTTGCAAACATCACACATAATAAAAGGTTTTAAAAGAATGATTAAAAAGTGATCTGGGGCCTGATGGCCGAGTGCACAGAGCTCGGGATTCGTAACCCTAAGGTTGCGGGTTCAATCCCTGGCGGAGGCGGAAACAAATGGGCAGAGAAACAAATTTTCACCTTGATGCCCTGTTCACCCAGCAGTAAATACGTACCTGGGAGTTAGGCAGCTGCTACAGGCTGCTTCCTGGGGATGTGTAATGGTCGAGGACCGGGCCACAGGGATGCTAAGCCCCGAAATCATCTCGAGATAACATCTCAAGATAGGAATCAAATTTCCAGTTTTATGGAAAATAATGAACTTCACAACCCAGGACAACATGGATTTAGAGCGGGAAGGTCCTGTCTGTTACAGTTCGTCAACCACTATGACAAAATCATAGAAGCTTTAGAGGAAAAGCAAAATGTAGATGTTGTATACAGACTTTGCAAAGGCATTCGACAAATGTGACCATGGAATGATAGACAGTAAAATGAGATCATTAGGAATAACGGGTAAAGTACAGTTTTTTTCAGTTGAATTGGAATGCTGGCTCGGGTGCACATTCTCTCGGAACCCATGGTGAAACTCCATCTGGGCCAACTGCTTTGTTCTTACTTAACTTCTTGAGCATTTTTTCCCACTTCATCTCTAGACACCTCTATACGCTCTATGTTGTTCTCTGGAATTCTTATTGTGTCTGGTTCTCTGAAGATTTCATTTTGTACAAACACACTTTGGAACTTTTCATTTAATGTTTCACACATTTCCTTTTCATTTTCCGTGAATCTGTTTCCCATTTTCAACCTCTGGATATTATCCTTTACCTGCAATTTGTTGTTTATGAATTTGTAGAATAGGCCCGGTTCTGTTTTACATTTATCCGCTATCCCTTTATCAAAATTTCTTTCTGCCTCTCTTCTTACTGCCGTATAGTTGTTTCTCACATCTTTGTATCGCTGGTATGTTTGGGGGTTTGGCCTCTTCCTATACTGATTCCAATTTTGTGTCTTTTGGTCTCTGGCCCTCTCACAATTTCTGTTGAACCAATCCTGTTTTCTGGCCCTGCATCTCTGTTTTGGTATGAATGTTTGTGTGCCTTCCTCGTATATTTTGCAAAATTTGGCATACATTTCATTTACTTCCCTGCCTAGCAACAAGTCTGTCCAATTACACTCATTAAAAAAATTTCAAAGTTCCCCATAGTGACCTCTCCGTAAATCGAGTTTATCAACTGTTTCAGTGTCCCCATTTTCTTCTAGATGATATCTTAAAGCATAATCAATTTCTAACAGGATGTGATCACTCTTTCGCAAGGGAGGAAGGTACTGGATGTTAAATATCTCTTCTTCTTTCCTGGTGAATACTAGATCCAGTACTGATGGTACATCTCCTTCCCTCATTCTTGTGGCCTGCTTTATGTGTTGACACAAGAATGTCTCCAGAATGAGGTTCACAAATCTGCATGTCCAAAAGTTCTCTGTTCTTGCTTCATAGGCCTCCCAGTCTATTGCTTTAAAGTTGAAGTCCCCCAGTATCAACAGTCGTGATTTATCTTTATTTGCTTGTACAATAATATCTCTCATGACCATTATGACGCCCTCTCGTTTGTCATCCAGTTCTTCCTTTGTCCATGTGTTGCTTGCTGGTGGGCTGTAGGCATTTAAAATTATCAGCTTATCATTCTGATTCCAGATCTGCAATGCCATTATGTCAATATCTTGAGGGTTTTCAAATATTAACTCTCTTACCTTCAGGTGTTTTTTCACCAGTACAGCCAATCCTCCTTCCTTCCTAGTTTTCCTGTCACGTTTCCAAACTGAATAGCCTCTTGGAAATATGACTTCATTTAATATATTTCCTTCAAGTTTTGTCTCTGATAAAGCGACAATATCTGGGACCCTAAGCTGAATTATATCTTGCAATTCCAAAGTTTTAGACCTCACTCCATCAATGTTGGTATATACAATTTTCAGGAACATGTTCCCTTTTCCTTTGCTCTTTACTCCCCCTTCCACTACTGATCTTGTTGCTTTGTTTTTATGTACCATTTCACAAGCTTTCCAGTCCCTGTCACTTTGTAGAAAAAATAATTTCTGTTTTCTTCATTTCTATTCCCATTTAGACGTTTTGCCTCAATTAGGTTCATTTTCAGCTTTTCTCTATCTTCCTTGGAGAGGTCTTGTCTTATTGACCAAAGTTTGCCAACCTCATCACTGCAATTTCCTGGCATTTCTAAGCACTTCCATCATGTTTTTCACTCCATTAAACGTCACCCTTAAGGGACGGTTCTTGTCTTTCTCATATTTTCCTATTCTTCTAAAGTCACTGACATTTTCCCTCGAGCCTTCTCCTAAACCTACTATTTTCTCTATGATTTTCATCTCTTCTGCTGCTCGGTCCACCCTAGATGAAATTTTCTTCTCTAAACATCCAAAAATTATTATGGACTTACTTCTGTCTGCAGTGTTTTGTACTAGTTTACTGTTGGTAACCAGTTCTTTCCTAATTGCTTGCCTAATTTCTGCTTCTTGTTGGTCATTTCTGGTTTTGACTTCCGAACACACTTCTTTAATAGTCTCTTTCTCTTTTACAACTTGAGCATATGTCGCTTTTATTTCTTCTTTATACTTTTCTAGTTCTTTATTCACCTCCTCTATGTGAGTTGTCAGTGTAGTTTCCAGTTGGAGATCCTTGCCTAACTCTATATTAGCTCTCAGGCTACCTTGGAGTTGTTCACCATATGAGTATTTTTTTGTTTATTTCTTCAAAGTCACCACACTTCACTTTCCACACCTCATTTTCTTTCACTAGTTCCTTGATTTGTTCCTCCTGATTTGTTACCTTGTCTGTTAATGCAGTAATAATCATACCTTGCTGAAGCATACTCCCTTTTAGAGTGCAAAGCTCACTCCTAAGAGCTCCATTGTCCTCTTCCAACAAAAATACCCCAAAAAAACAACAAATAAGTTTGTGTGCCTATTTGGACGCCCCAGTTGTGTGCCTGGTTGGATGCGTGACCCCCATGGTGTTTCAGGACTCTGATTTGGAGGTGTTGGATAACTCGACCTTAGTTCCATCTGCACCTCCTCTTCCTTCCCCAAGGAAGCAGGAAACGGGAAAATTACCTGGGTTCAATAGTACTGTAATGGCACTGATCTTTCTCATTGAAACTGTAAGCTTGGCTTTCATCCTACATCAGTAGCCTGGCCCTACAAACTGATATGTTTATTGAGATTTATTATAATTTCATTAGGTATGAAGTGTATTTAATGTTACCAGTTATGTAAGGTACAGGATAGAGCTAGAGTCTGCCTATAAATTGTTAGTTAACTTTATTCTCAAAGTACAGTACTGCATCTACTTACTGAGAGAAAAAGTGTTCCAAATGTGAGTCAATCTAGGAATGCTGATGGAGTGAACTTTTTTATAATTTCAAAACCAGCATAAAGCAATTGATGACTGAGTGCCTTCCACTATTGTTGCCATTATTTGGGTCTCCCTACTTAAAATAAAATATGTACATGGTGGGGGTATTTTTGTTGTGAAGAATATTTTATATACAGTATTATTTGTACAGTACTGTATTGAGATATGCCTGACATAGGGACTAATGATACTGTACAGTACTTTGCATTATTGTCTGCAGTCAAAATAATGATACTGTATCATCTTTTATTGGAATAACATAAAATCTTTATAAAGTACAATAATTTGTTTAATAAATTGGTATTGTATTTTCAGTGTGGTGAGAAAGGCATTTCTCGTCGACATGCTTATCTAGACTGGGATGATGATGGAGTTCTTATTACAGCGGTAAGTTACACAATACTGTACTGTATTGTGTTTGAGTGATGGTGTATCAACTAATTAACCCTTAGACAGCAGCTATCATCATTCATTGATACACGGGGTAATGCGGTTATCGTCATACGATGTTTTAATCAATTATTGTCTGGGTTTTACATATGTATGATTCAAATATGGATATACTGTAATATTGTAGCTCTTGTGTGGATGCAATGGAGTTTACCTTAACCCATGAAAAAAGTCCTGCTACCATTTAATTGTTACATGTACTAGGGAAATGCAGTTAGTAATAGGCATCCTGCAGTTTTCGGAGACTATGGAGTTGCACTCTGGTTGCCAAGGCTGGAGTGTCTTCTCCAGGGTGCAAAGCCTGGGTAGGTCAACATGGAGAAGCTGTTACCCATGCAGTAAGTTCCCCCCCCCCCTTTCCACGATGTTAAAATTGTCCATTGGAAAGGCAAACGCCAATACGCTTGGTTTCAGCGCCATCGCAGGAGCTGCCAGAATGACGTTGAAGTCAACAATGCACTGCCTTAGGGGCTCCAGCTCTGGATGTTTCCTTGAGGTTGACTACTGAAGCCCATTCAAAAAGTGGGTATGGCCGTGAGGCAGCACAGGTTTGAGATCAGGGTTTTCCTTCCCCTAGATGAGCTGCCTTCCCAGGCTGTCGAGTCCCATCTACCTGGAGCAGTTGGTTGTAAGGCGCCAGAAGCACGGGCACATGTACAAGGACAAGGACCTGAAGGGCTGCCCCTGGCACTATTACTGCAGCAGGCTGCTAGTCTTGCTGAGGGCCCTGCAGAACCTCCTGGGGGATGGACTGGGAGTCCTCTGGGGACTGCCACACTCAACAACACACAATGATGGCGTTGTGTGTTGGCGATATACTAAAGAAAGTATAGGATGGCGATATACTAAAGAAATTGTTCACAACTTTTGTTAGGCCAAAGCTAGAATATGCAGCGGTTGTGTGGTGCCCATATCTTACAGAACTGAAGGGCAAGAGCTACGAGGAGAGGTTAGAGGCATTAAATATGCCAAAACTAGAAGACAGAAGAAAAAGAGGTGATATGATCACTACATACAAAATAGTAACAGGAATTGATAAAATTGATAGGGAAGATTTCCTGAGACTTGGAACTTTAAGAACAAGAGGTCATAGATTTAAACTAGCTAAACACAGATGCCGAAGAAATATAAGAAAATTCACTTACGCAAACAGAGTAGTAGACGGTTGGAACAAGTTAGGTGAGAAGGTGGTGGAGGCCAAGACCGTCAGTAGTTTCAAAGCGTTATATGACAGAGTGCTGGGAAGACGGGACACCACGAACGTAGCTTTCATCCTGTAACTACACTTGGGTAATTACAACTCAAATATTATAATAATATCATTATTATTATTATATTAATATTATATTAATATATAATAATTTTATTATACTGTAATAATATGTAATATACATTTTGATACAGTGTTCTATTTACAAATTTAATCCGTTCCCAGAGACAGGTCGTAACTTGAAAATTCATAACTCTAAACAAATTTTCCCATAAGAAATAATGTAAATTGAATTAATCCGTAATACATTCCCAAAAATATTAACCTCAGAATACATTTCATACATAATACACACACACACACATTTTGTACTATAGTACAGTATGTACAAGTTATAGCTTACCTTTATTGAGGACTCTTGTTGGCATATGGAAGACTGTAACGGGGGGTCAGCCTTTAACCTCACTTATCTGGTTAAATGCTAGTCGTTATTAGTTCCATTTATCTCAAAGTTCTCAATGTAATCTTCAGTCCAACTCCTCGAATCTAAAATGTTTGATCATTTTATGGGGGATGTGCCCTACAGATGGATAGGGATCCATCTGTAGGGCACATTCCGCATCAACCCCCATCCCACACCTTCCCTGCTACCTCCATTCCCTACACTGGATCCTCCCAGCAGTATTCTTCCCAGCCATATGGAGCTTTGGGTCGAAGTACGCCAGTGGTGTCAGCAGCTGGATCAACGGTGGGGGGACCCAGAGCTGTCTTCTTCATCTGGTTGGCATGGTGCTCACTCTCCACGGAGATCTGGCTCACGGGTTTCACATCGGCCCTTTCGCGGGTCGCCCTTTTGACAGGGCGATGTGGGGAATGCTGGCTCTATTTGCCCATGCTTGGTCCCACAATTTGTGAGCTTTTCGGGTTGTGTCCCACAGCCTTTGGGGGCATTGGGTGACCCTTCCTCTTTCGAGTAGGTTGGGTCTGGTGGGGCAGATCTCTCTCCCTTTCATCCATTGGGTCAACTTGGAGTGGGATTGCTTAGGTGTGGTTGAAATGACCTCGTCTCTTTGGCAGGTTTCCTTACCTGTTTCCAGTTCCGAAATGGGACTGCAGATCTCCAGTACATTCTGGACTTGTTTCGTCTGAACCAGTTGATTCCTTCCCCCCCCCATTTCAAATGACTACGTTTTCCCAGGTCCAGCTCGATAATGAGCCGGGCAGTTGGATGATTTTCCTGGACCTCAAAGATGCTTATTGGCACATCCCTATCCATCTGGGGGTTTAGGGATTGGTTTGGTTTCATGGTGGGGGTGACGAACCTACTGCTTTCGGTGCTTTCCTTTTGGGCTGAATCTGGCACCTTACGTTTTTACGAGCTTGACGTGGGTTGTGGTAGGCCATCTTCTTCTGCTGGATCTTTGGGTCTTGGCCTACCTCGACGACTGGTTGGAGTGGGCTCCCAGCCAGTCTGCTTTTCTGCTAGCCAAGGATCTTTTGATTTTTTTGGGGCTTGCTGGGTTCTGGTTCTTGATGAACTGGAGGAAGTCCCAGTTGGTTCCGTCTCAAGTTTTGACCTTGTTGGGCCTAGTTTGGAATTCTCGGATGTCATCGCTTTCCCTTCCTCCCGCAGCCTTGCTCTGGTTTTGATCCCGCCGTCAGCTACTGCTGAGGGGGGCCCAGGTGACTCGGCAGTTGCTTGAATGGTGGTAGGAGACCCTGATCTTTCCCCTTTTGGTTTACCTGTTGGGCAGGGTTTGACTCCGGGGAGCTTTTCTGGTATCTTCAGAGCAGCCCTTTTGCTGCTCTCACGATCGCCAGGTCCATCCCTCGGTGTCCTTTTACTGGTTGCTGTGTTAGTTCTTTGCTGGTTGCAGTTCGTTGACTGATGCCGTATAGAGTGGACGTTACCTCTGGCCTCATTCTCTTGCTGGATTTTGTCCTGTTCGGTTGTGCTGGCTGTATATTTATTGTGTGGTGGCCAGGTGTTCCAAGAAGTACTCGGGCTGCATGCATCTAGGGTTATCTTCCCTGGGCACCGGAGGGGGTCCTTTGGTTGTGGCAGCTTGGATAGTTTGGCCAGGGGGGGGGGGGGTGCATCTTGTTTGTCCGGTAGTGGCCTTGCCACTAGTTCTTGCTGGCCACTGGTTCTGTTTCAGTGGAGACTAGTTTGTGTTTTCGAATTGACCACCGTAATGTGCTCTGCGAAGTGCAGTGGTTAATGCTCAACATTTAAACTTTAATTTATAAATTCAGATGCTTCATCAGCATTCAGAAATTTGCTGAGTTTTACTTGTCAGACAAAGGCCTGGATAAGAAGTTGTGGTATCAAGTACCCTGTACATTTTTTTTGTATTTACTAGATTTGGGATACACTAAATATCTCATCATGTGAGTCGTGAGAAAATTATTTTTAAGAATGCTGGACGTTGTCTAAATTTAAAGAACGGGAAAATTTAAATTGCTCCCCATATATTTGCTACAAGGCTCTTATTTTCCTTCAGTTATTGTACCTTCCACTGACAGTTTTATGATCAAATCTTTCATAATGTCCCCCCCAAATTTAGCTTGTATATTTTTTTTAATTTAAGTTGTCATCCACACTTCAATGGAAGTAAACATTGCATTCACCTGGGCTCTAGGAGACATGAACTGTGGACCCTACGCATGTGAGGCCGAAGCTCTATCGACCGAGGTCAATAGAGCTTTGTGGACCCCATAAATGTGGGGGTTATCTTGAGGTTATATCTTGAGATGGTTTCGGGGCTTTTTTTTTTTAGTGTCCCCAAGGCCCAGTCCTCGACCAGGCCTCCACCCCCAGGAAGCAGCCCGTGACAGCTGACTAACACCCAGGTACCTATTTTACTGCTAGGTAACAGGGGCATAGGGTGAAAGAAACTCTGCCCATTGTTTCTCGCCGGCGCCTGGGATCGAACCCAGGACCACAGGATCACAAGTCCAGCTTGCTGTCCGCTCGGCCAACCGGCTCCAAATGGAGCCGGTCTGGTCCACGGTTCGAGTCTCCTAGCGCCCAGGTGAATGGGATTTTTTAAATTTGTTTCTCAACTTTCTTTTTGAGCTTTATTAACTTACTCTGTGTATATGTATTTTAGGTGCATCAGAACGCAACATTTGTTGTTGCTAACGGTCGGGAGGAAGAGCTGACAGTGGGCAGCTCTGCTCTTCTAACACATGGTGACACTTTTGGCTTAATGAAGACCAGGTTTTGGTACAAGTAAGTTCATAAAATTGCTTATGTAATACAGACATTTATTTGTATTTTATTAACTCTTGAACAGCACAACTGTTAAATGCTGACATCCCCATGGTGTACAAGAAAAAATTCAGATTTTTTTTTTTTTTTACTTTAACTGGCTTCCAGGAAGGACAAAAATCCAAGTAAAAAGTCTCCATACCTTGTGGCTTAGCCGTAGTGGCCCAGAGAAGTTGGGATTTTTTTTGGGTAGAAATGAGGTGAGGTGCTGCGTGGGAATAACTGTTGATTTATTTTTAATGTTTCTCACACTATTTATTTAATTGTTTGGTGCTAACAGGTTTCATTGATGTGTGAAAGGTGGTGTTTATTATGTATAATTTTGAAAATATATATGTACAGTATAGATGTCACTCCAGTCTCATGACAAGTCAAAACAATAGGAACAATGGGCCATGAATCTGTGATGTCACAGGGTAGAAGGCAATAGAGTGGCGCCCGACATGGTCAGTGGGCAAACTAGGCCATCAAACCACCCCGGGCCGGCGCGAAGCCTGGCAGACCGCTTCCTCGCTTTCTGAACTTAATTCGGGAAGCGTGAAACCCCAACTTCGATTGTGAAACTGGAACTTTCGGATAACTTAAGTTTGCAAACCAAGTGGTCCTCTGTATCACATAACAGTTCAGATAGTTTCAGGGAGTCTCTGGGGCTCGCCCAGAAAATGGCGTTTCATTACATTCAACGCTGGTTTTTTGGACTTCCTTGTAAGAGTTCTGCTTATTCTAATGTCTAGCTTATCTGGCAGGGGGTCATCCCATATAATTTGGATAAATGAGCTTATACAGTAATTGCACATAGCACACATTTTGCCTGGATCACAAAGAGTCTGAATTTTCGTAATCACTCATTTGGTGGTGTTAAAAGTTCATTGGCTCCTAGTATGGATGCCCTGCACATTCTGACACTGGACGGTTGATGTGCCAAACATGGTCCTCATATTTTGTTTATTAAGGGCCTAGAAGGAAACTGAGGGACTCTTGATTTTTTCTCAAGATGAAGGATGGTTATTAGAGGCTTGAGAAAGCAAATGTGACCCCTGTATATGCGTGGTAATTTAAAATTTTATGATATACCTACGAGCGTTTTAATCACTGCCATTGCACATAGTGCCATAAGGCAATTGAATGGTGGTGCGCATTGCTTTAAGGCGCTTTTAGGTATAGGGAATGATTCAAAACTCCCGTGGGTACATAGGGTTCACATCTTTTATCTCGGGACTCAGGACTCTGGTAAACAGACGCCCATCTTGAAAAAAAAATCAGCATCCGTACTGGCTATGAGAGTCTCAGTATTGAGAGAGCAACACTGGTGCATGCAGCAGCAGCCCACAGCACCACTGTGCAGCTAGGGGGCTTCAGCACCACTTAATAATGATGAATAAAATAGGTAATTTCAATTATTTTGCATTGATAGTGTCATAGATGATCCTGACTGTGATAAAGACTATGTACAACGTTTAGATATCAGTGAACACAATGCTCAATATACTATTCCATCCTATCCTCCTGTTTAGATAGTACACACTATACTTTTTGTAACTAAGTGAACCATCGTACATACATAGACGTAATAGAAAATTAGTAGAATTTGGTACTACTGTATTCACTTAATAGTTTAAAAAAAATGAAGCTAAAACCAAACTTAAACATTCCTAGGCGTAGTATAGTACATATATGTACTATATTAGGCCTCAGATAGCATATATTAGGCCTAGGAAGGTTAGGCTAGGTTAAGTTTTCCTGGCAACATTGATTAAAAAGCCTCTCTGGTTTGTCCAAATTCAGAAGTATTGATTTCTACTTTCTAATTCCCTGCTATGTCTATATATATATACAATGGTCCTCAACATTACTACTGTATAAGTACTACCTAAACATAAGGATGGGCTGGATATTCACAGCATGAGGTAGACACACAGATAGAACCCAGTAGGCTCTAGAATCTGTGCACTGGTTGATTGACAGTTGAGAGGTGGGACCAAAGAGCCAGATCTCAACCCCTGCAAGCACAACTAGGCGAGTACACAGCACCTAGCCAATGTTTCCTGCATCATGAAACAACCTCATGTTAAATTACAAATAACCTTGTGGAAGTAGATTTATTTTGGGGATTTTGTGACAGTAATGTGATAACAACAGCAGTTCTGTGGCTAGTCATAGTGAAATCTGTAGAATATTTGAAGCATTTTCTTGCATTAGGTGATTGCTGGCACCGTCTGCTCGTATCATGTGCCTCCATGCTGTGTTTTGATTTCATCACCACACCCACCAGAACTGCTTATTAGATTGTTATAGTGCATATCTTTGTTTAGTTAGTTTAAATCTATGACCTCTTTTTCTTGAAGTTCCAGGTCTCAGGAAATCTTCCCTATCAATTTTGTAAATTCCTGTTACTATTTTGTATGTAGTTATCATATCACCTCTTTTTCTTCTGTCTTCTAGTTTTGGCATATTTAACGCCTCTAACCTCTCTTCGCAGCTCTTGCCCTTCAGTTCTGGGAGCCACTTAGTAGCATACCTTTGCACCTTTTCCAGTTTGTTGATGTGCTTCTTAAGATATGGGCACCATACACAACCTGTCCTCTTAAAAAGAACGTCGCTTTTGGCCGTTTGCCCGTATGGCCGAATTTGGACGTAATTTGAAAATGAAAAAAAAATGAAAATAAATTTGGGATTTTTTTTTTCAACAACAGTAAGTTAAGGGTCCTCTGATAGGTTAGGTGGGCAGGAAATTCTCATAAAGTTTCAAAACGTTATGAAAAACGTTAATTTAAAGTGCCCTCTCATAACCTCTGCGCGTACGCCGGACAACTCAAACAGAAAACGGAACAAAACGTCACTTTTGTGAGTTGATTTCATTTCAAATTACGTCCAAATTTAGCCATATCGCGCATACGAGCCAAAAGTGACGTTATCTTTAACCCCTTAACTGCGTTGCCTCCAAATGTGACACCCCCGCAGTGCGCAGGAAATAAATTCTCTGGAAAAAATTCTTTTTTCTTTTTGAAGTGTCAAAAACCCTTCCCTCAGTATGGGTATGCAAAAAAAAAGTCGAAATTGTACTTACTTTGGCTGCTATGGGGTCCGGAAGTTGGGGCGTGACGTCATCATTCCCCGTGCGCCCGTGCCGTAAGCTCTCGGGGGCGGTGGGGCGCTCGGGGCGGGGCGCGCGAGTTGCCGCGAATATATTTTCGTTCATTTTTTGCGCACCTTTCCAAATACATTTTCATTGTTTTTATGTGCCAATCCAATGTATAATGAACACGTACACTATAATATCGCAGTACAACATCCGTACTGTCCGTAGACACTGTGTTACGTGCATGAAACTTGTGTACACATATGCAGCACATATTTACTATGTATCATGCTAATTTGTGTATATATACAATCTATTTACACACTATACACTGTCACACACTATATACATTCACCATCAACACATTCAGAACACCGCGTAGCAGCTGCTTCGTATGGGCCAATAGCAGCTGCCTCGTATGGGCCAATATCAGCTGCCTCGTATGGGCCAATAGCAGCTGCTTCGTATGGGCCAATAGCAGCTGCCTCGTATAGGCCAATAGCAGCTGCCCCGCATGGGCCAATAGCAGCTGCCCCGCATGGGCCAATAGCAGCTGCCCCGCATGGGCCAATAGCAGCTGCCCCGCATGGGCCAATAGCAGCTGCCCCGCATGGGCCAATAGCAGCTGCCCCGCATGGGCCAATAGCAGCTGCCCCGCATGGGCCAATAGCAGCTGCCCCGCATGGGCCAATAGCAGCTGCCCCGCATGGGCCAATAGCAGCTGCCCCGCATGGGCGCATGGGCCAATAGCAGCTGCCGCGTATGGGATAATAGCAGCTGCCTCGTATGGGCCAATAGCAGCTGCCTCGTATGGGCCAATAGCAGCTGCCGCGTATGGGCCAATAGCAGCTGCCGCGTATGGGCCAATAGCAGCTGCCGCGTATGGGCCAATAGCAGCTGCCGCGTATGGGCCAATAGCAGCTGCCGCGTATGGGCCAATAGCAGCTGCCGCGTATGGGCCAATAGCAGCTGCCTCGTATGGGCCAATAGCAGCTGCCTCGTATGTGCCAATAGCAGCTGCCTCGTATGGGCCATGAACACATTCAGAACACCTTGAGTGAGAGCAGCCACACCCAGCCAGTCTCCCTCACTCCAACATCTTACTCGCCAACATTGCTCCTCCCACCATATTGCTATAGTTCTTATTACACATGTTCTATATACCTATCTACATGTTTTATTTACCAGAACTATGCAAGTAAGCCGGTATTGTGTCCAAACAGTACAGTGGCCACCATACACTGCATGAAAAATCACACAGCAGACGACGCTACGATTACGTCACCTCCCTCACCAAAATAGCTCCTCTCAACATTCTCCTGTTGCTGTTCTTACACTATATACACACACTATATATACCCATGTACATATGTGTTGCCCATAGTGAACCACTAAGCTAGTATGGTGAGCAAAACAAGAGTGGCAGCCACACACACACAATTGAGGCTACCTCAATTCTCGCCCTCCCTCCCTCATCAAAATTCCTCCTTCCACAATACTACGCACAACGCTAATTATAACCACATTCCTGCTATTATCACAATCCTGGTCACTAATTCCTGTAAATGAATAATTGACCACACGTTTATTTTGAAAAAGAACCTAAGAAATCATTTGAAGATTCCTAGATGAACGAAATAATGCTCTGGTGCTGTGGCTAGCGCTGTGAACATCGTGAACAGCATTGAATCACTGATATTTGAACATTGTACCCAGTCATTATCACACTCAGGCTCTAATATAACACTAAATAATACAATTTATATATATATTTTGACATTATTAGGCGATGCTGTGGTCACATGCTGAACAGCAGTGCTGTGCGCTCATGCTGCGAGCGCCAGCCTTGGTTGCTCACACACTACTGAGGCTCCCACACCCG